ACCAATCATAATGAGTAAGTGAAGGAAATCCAATTAAAAACTACTACTATTAAACATTTTCAAAACATACTTTTACAGATTGAGGAGTAAATACCGTAAGAGTTTTAACTGAAATTTATACCCCGAGAAAAAGTTTAAAACTTCAACTTATTCCATACAGACGAGGGGGACATCAAATGTCATGTGTGCGTGTTGTTTATATAGATTCTTTTCGATATGTACGTTTTGAAGAATGATGTGTTGATATCAGATTCAAGTTTGTTTAAGACATACTCCTAAAGAAGGTGGAAGCTTAAACACCTAGGTTTTCTTTAGATAAATGATAAGGTCGTCTCTGCTTAATTGATTTATATTGTAAAATACTGCGCTGAGCACACGAATGATTGCAAATAAGTAAATACACACAACGTCGTTTTGTTTAATTTATCGAATAAGAACTGAATTATCTTTATTTACAATCTCGATGCAAAAGCTGACAGTATACTGACAATAATCGGCTCTTATTTTCAAGCTTGATAAGCCTCGTTCTGCGAATACAAAAACCGAAACGTTATTTACAAACATCAAAATATTTTAAAATCCTAAGCAAACAAAAGAAAACAAACAAACATTCGTCCCTGAAATAAAAATGAAAGTATCCTCAAGTGGAATTTAAACGTTTTTCTTACAAACTGCTAAATTCAAAGTATAAACTTGATTTTGTTTTTTAACACTGTTTATACACACGTATTTAACATGAAGATACAGTTGTAGCTGTAATAGCACGATTCCATTAAAACTGTAAGGTTTATACACACGTATTTAACATGAAGATACAGTTGTAGCAGTAATAGCACGATTCCATTAAAACTGTAAGGTTTATACACACGTATTTAACATGAAGATACAGTTGTAGCTGTAATAGCACGATTCCATTAAAACTGTAAGGCAGGAATTATACACCATGAAACAAGTTAGTCAACTTAATAAATTATATTTGTAAACACTTCACAAAAAAAGTAGTTGCAAGGTTTGACAATCTTAACACATCTAACACATGGTTAAAGAAATAAAAACAGTATAAAAGCATCATCTAATGTAGTGATCTTTATTAGTTAGTCGTGAGTTAAAACTTAGTCTCAAAATGTCACTTTACCCTTTCTGTTTGTTGATGAGACACGTGTTAATCTACTTGTTCATCACTGTATTACAATCCTACAATATGTATAGTTAGGTCACTTTGTTCATAATATATTTGTTCACAGCTCACACTGTTAAGTACGTCTCCAGGTTCATGGATAAATATAAAACATGTAATATTGTACCACAGCGAGATCAACAACAAAAACTATAAAGTTGTGAACAAATAACCCTACTCAGGTATGAAAAATTATTATTTGAAATTATCATGGTTAGTGTAGACCTAACACAACTAAAATGTAAGATATGTATCTTTCTTCTTCTTCTAGTATTATGGTCCATATAGACCTCTCTGACTTTAACGTCTTGAAGATACGGCTGGTACCACTTTTCGGTTCCTTTGTTACGTCAAATGATTATACGTTTTGACAACTTCGTAGCTGTGTTCGTAAAACATACACGAAGCAATTTTTTACCTGTAAATTATTGATTCTCAGAAATTAGGATTATGAGCTGTAGTCTAGTAGGAATAATCCAAAATATCATGAAATGGGGAAAAATTGTAAGAGAAGAGTTTCTTTATTTCATGTGTTAATCGTAGCTTTTCTACAACATATTAAAAATCTGAAAAGCACCGGGACAGGCAAAAGTAGATATTATAGGTTTTCAACTGTTCAAGCTATAGTATAAGTTTGACACAAAATATCAGTTTATCTATCTAGACGAGATTTATCGAAAACGGCATGAAGTACTGCCAGTATTAACAAACGCAATTTTTACATGCTATACACTTTTTACGGAAAATAACGAATAAATAGATAACAGTTGTTCAAGTTAAAGCTATTCCACGCCACTTGACAAATATCCCCTCCCTACTGACAAATTTCCAACACAAGTAAAACTACTACGCACGATCAGATGTAATGCAAATCTAATACTGATCTATACTGTGGTACAAGATGCACTTGCTGACGTTGCGGTGGCGGTTGCAGTGGACCAACTTGCTCGAACTCTCAGTTTCGTATATCCGAGAGGAAGATTAAGTGATTATGGTTTCTTTCTTCGGCGTTATAAGTTAATAATTATTTTATCATATACAACTAAACTAAAGTGGTGAATATGTAAGTTTTATTAAAACAACGCCATTACGTTCTACCAATGAAAAGAGTAATTGATGTTGATTTCAACAACGTGCAACTCTCAGTTACTAACCTATGGTGCAGAGAATCCCCGAATTCAAGTTGGTGACTTTTCGTTTACCCATATATTTACCCCTTCCCCATAAAGCCACTTTCCGTTGATTCTATTTTGTATAATTTTGTGTATATTGTTAAACATCTTCGACTTATATACTAAATTATTTAAAAACGCCATCTTAAGTATTTAATTATACTACATGTAATGTAGTAAAATCAGAACTCGAACTCCGATGTTTGGGGCTTATTACTTTGGAAAATTGTGTACCAGCCTGTACTGGATAACTCAAAGCAACATTCAATTGCATCAATAAAAAGTAATAAATCACGTTTATTCTGATGATATATTACTTATATGACTCATGTAGTCCTCGAAGTTGACTTTGATGATTTCTGTACTCCAAAATATGTACCCCCCTGAAAAAAAAACATTTTCACCTGTCCCAATTTTGTTCAGTTTTTAGTATGTTTTACAGAACACGTGTCTTGATAACACTGCGGTAGAATTACTTCCCTTTCAATTGTTTTCCTATCTCTACTGGATTACAAACTGCTTGATAACACTGCGGTAGAATTACTTCCCTTTCAATTGTTTTCCTATCTCTACTGGATTACAAAAAACAATTGAAAGAGAAGTAATTCCACTGCAGTGTTGTCAAGCAGCCCTATCTCTACTGAATTACAAGCTGCTTGATAACACTACAGTTTAATTACTTCTTTTTCAATTGTTTTCCTATCTCTACTGGATTACAAACTGCTTGATAACACTGCAGTGGAATTACTTCTCTTTCAATTGTTTTCCTATCTCTACTGAATTACAAACTGCTTGATAACACTGCATTGGAATTACTTCTGTTTCAATTGTTTTCCTATCTCTACTGGATTACAAGCTGCTTGATAACACTGCAGTGGAATTACTTCTCTTTCAATTGTTTTCCTATCTCTACTGGATTACAAGCTGCTTGACAACACTGCAGTGGAATTACTTCTCTTTCAATTGTTTTCCTATCTCTACTGGATTACAAGCTGCTTGACAACACTGCAGTGGAATTACTTCCCTTTCAATTGTTTTCCTATCTCTACTGGATTACAAACTGCTTGATAACACTGCGGTAGAATTACTTCCCTTTCAATTGTTTTCCTATCTCTACTGGATTACAAGCTGTTTGATAACACTGCAGTGGAATTACTTCTCTTTCAATTGTTTCCCTGTCTCTACTGGATTACAAGCTGTTTGATAACACTACAGTGGAATTACTTCTCTTTCAATTGTTTCCCTGTATCTACTGGATTACAAGCTGTTTGATAACACTACAGTGGAATTACTTCTCTTTCAATTGTTTCCCTATCTCTACTGAATTACAAGCTGCTTGATAACACTGCAGTGGAATTACTTCTCTTTCAATTGTTTCCCTGTCTCTACTGGATTACAAGCTGTTTGATAACACTACGGTGGAATTACTTCTCTTTCAATTGTTTCCCTATCTCTACTGAATTACAAGCAGCCTAACTAAAGAAAAACATTTGGGTATTAAGTAGTAAAAGAAGCAGCAAGTTGAAAGAAGTAGAAACTTCCGTTTTTTGAGAATATATAGAATGAAAACTGGTAACACCAGAAAAAAGAAAATATTAACACACTAGTAATATGTCTTAAGAGTAACTTCCTATTTTGGTGGCATCATAACTAAACTATATAGTCTTCATTTTTCTGATTGGTCGTTCTGCAATCTAATTATATATTATTGAATTGGTTTACTGTTTGAAAAAATATCTGAAAACAGTTCGTAGTTATCTTAACAGGAGTTGTATAATCACCTATATCAGTGCTAATAAAACTAACATTGTCTACATTTTTATGTTTGTAGTACAACATGATACTTAAAGTATTAAATATTAAGAAAATAGCATTAATTTTTTTCTTAAAACGAACAAAATTCCAGACCAGCACGAGTTACGGCTTGATACATCGAAATATTCTACTAATTCAGAGTAAGTTATTCATATCTGAGCTTCATATCAACCCATGCTTTTTTTGTTTAATAGCAGAGTAGACTATCTTTCGGCCAATATTCTGTAGCATATCCAGGCCTTATGTCAGTGTTAACATGTTTTAAAACGAAGCTATTACATTGTCAGTTCACTTTTTCAACACGAGCGGGCTTTGAGAACCGCTTCTAAACATTAATCATTATAACAAGTTGAAATATTGAGATTATTCATATCTTTGATGTTAAAATAAATCTTAATATCGTTTTAAGTGAAATATTGGTTAAGATACAAACCGAAACTTGTTAATGTTTGACTAAAGATGGGAATTTTAAAATTGCTAGTTTCGAAATACGTAGACATCTAAAGGCAAAATTTTGTGTGTGTGAAGATTTTATAAGTGAATATTTTATTCTATTTTCCAGCAAACTACTGATACCTATATATATATATACACACACACACACTCCAGTAGCCTCCGTCTCTGGTGATGGTTCTCCAGATCTCAGTTCACTACTACTTGTATGAAGCGCAGATTGAGGATAACAAAATGAGCGACTCAAATCAATGTACCAGGAATAGCTGTGCACCATCATTTCAAGAAAAGTTTTAACATTGTTTTAGTCTCTTCTCAATCGTTTCGCATCAGTTTCTGGTGAAGTGTTCAGAAAAAAACAAACAGTACTTCTATTACCCTGTTTTTAAAAGTTTTGATTAAAGTTATGAACCACGAAGACTAGTGTTGCGATTCTTCATTTTATCTGGTGGGCGAAAGTCATATGGCAGCTGAATGAGAAGTAGGACATAGATTCGGAGTGACTACGCCGTGCATGATAGGAGAGAGAGTGTTTGCAGTGACACTGTTCTGATGATTTTGCAGGTACATATAATAGTTGTAGTTTTGAGCAGGGTCAGCAGACAGCTGGCCACTTAATGGCATGGACACTGATTGGGGAGGTGGACGGAAAGTCATAGAATGGCTGAGAAGGTCAGATACTGCATGGGACGTAGGCCATCCTCTGAAAGATGGGGTAACAGTTGGGATATTAGAGTTGTGGTTAATGAGTTTTCCTGACGTCATGCTCATAGCAGACTGGGACAAGGGAGCAGCTGGTTGTGGTGGTGGCCCTGCAGCACAGGGATACGGATAGATGGCACTGTAGATATGTCGATGGTCTTTTGAACTGTCGTACGGGTGATAATGTCCGTTTAAGTGATGCACCGCTGAGCCAATTTTGTTCCGGAGAATTCTGCTGATGCTACTCACTGAAGGCACGTTGTACTTGTCACAGATTCCATCCGCTAACAGTCGGTCACGTATCTCCCAGGCAAAGATGCCTGGATCTTTTTGCTTAAGGTCTTTGATATATGCCACGACCTTCGGTGTTGTTACTCGTGGCTTGCTCCCTCCGATAGCACCAGGGAGAATAGAACCTGTCTCGTGGTAGCGGGCAAGTATCTTGGAGACGCAGCCGTGGGACACACGAAGCTGGCGGCTTATATCACACGGTCGCACGCCTAGCTGTGCCAACTCCACGATCCGCAGCCTTATAGCATTGGGTAACGGTCGGCCGTTGACGAACACACCTCCTAATTGGTTCACTTCTCCGTAGGTCTGTGTTTCTGTAGGAAGAATATTATTACCAGTGAGACTTTTCTTACAAATTTATTGAATAAGAAGCAAACAAACTCTCAAAAACGTCCATGAAGAAAGAAATAAGTGAGATCTTCTATAATAAATATGTAAAAACTTAAAAAAGAGCGTTAGTAGACATTTTTTATTACTACTCTTATCATGAAGTCTCTTGGAGAAAAATGCCTTGTTAGAAAGTTTCTTATTTAGTCTAATCTAAAAGAAAACACTGTTAGCACGTATTGACTGGTATAGTAAAAAACGTTTTTAGCATGTTCTCATTTATAATCGTGTGAAAGAGAAGACCTTTTAATAAGCAATTATCTGATCTTATGAAAAAAAAAGAGATTAGTAGGTTCCTATCTGGGCTGAAAAAAGAAGTCATTATTAGTAGGTTATTGTCTGGTCTGGTAAAACGAAGCCATTGTTAGTAGGTTACTTACTTGACAGGTAAAAACAAATCACTGTTAGTAGATTACTTTCTGGACTGTTAAAATATATCATCGTTAGTAGATAACTTTTTGAACTGGTAAAAAGAAGTCATTGCTAGTAGGTTACTTTCTGAACTAATAAAAAGAAGTCATTGTTAGTAGGTTATTTACTTGACAGGTAAAAATAAATTACTGTTAGTAGATTACTTTCTGGACTGTTAAAATATATCGTCGTTAGTAGATAACTTTCTGAATTGGTAAAAATACGTCCTTGTTAGTAGGTTACTTTCTGAACTGATAAAAAGAAGTCATTGTTAGTAGGTTACTTTCTGAACTAATAAAAAAGTCATTGACAGGTAAAAATAGATTACCGTTAGTAGATTACTTTCTGGACTGTTAAAATATATCATCGTTAGTAGATAACTTTTTGAACTGGTAAAAAGAAGCCCTTGTTAGTAGGTTACTTTCTGAACTGATAAAACGAAGTCCTTGTTAGTAGGTTACTTTCTGAACTGATAAAAATAAGTCCTTGTTAGTAGGTTACTTTCTGAACTGATAAAAAGAAGTCCTTGTTAATAGGTTACTTTCTGAACTGATAAAAAGAAGTCATTGTTAGTAGGTTACTTTCTGAACTAATAAAAAAGAAGTTATTGTTAGTAGATAACTTTCTGAATTGGTAAAAAAAAGTTTTTTGTTAATTGGTTATTGTCTGATATGGTAAAAGTCATTGTTAGAAGGTTATTTCTGGTCTGGTAAAAATACATTATTGTTAATAGGTTACTTTCTAGTTTGTTAAAAAGAAGTTATTGTTAGTAGGTTATTTTCTGAACTGGTAAAAGTAAATCTTTGTTAATAGGTTACTTTCTAGTGTAGTAAAAATAAGTCATTGTTAGTGAGTTATTTTCTGGAATGGCAAAAAGAAGTCATTGTTAGTAGATTACTTTCTTTCCTGTTATAAGGTTATTAATTAATCTGTTGGAAGACGGTACACTTTTTATGTGTATTGAGAAAAGGCATTTCTTTCAAGCTTTATTCTTCTGGAAGAAAATATCGTTAGCATCAAAACCATATCAAACTAGCAAACACATTTTTGTAACTTGGCTTCCACTCATGTTAATGTTGAAAGAAAATTAGAGTTAGGAGAAGAAAACAATTATACGTTTATTTTAAATATGTTGGAGAAGCGGTTATAAGGAGATCTCTCTATATATTTATAAAAAATATGTGCAGCGAAATAAATGTTAAGGTTATTTTTAAACTAAACCAAGAAAAACAGCACTTAAATTTACAAAACCTTAATTATAAAGTTCTGTATTACCTGAAAAGTGGTGGACAGAGAATTTACACTTGGAAATGGTTTTTAAATAATCTAGAATCATTCTAGAAAGCTATCAAACAAATAGTCTGTGGTGTGCCTTTATATCTTAAGAATGATTTGAGTACGTGAGTAAGAGCTTGATTATAATAGTACAACCAACGGAATTATTATCAAACAAGAAAACTTATATATATATATATATAAATTAAAAGGAATACAACGTTAAAATCTTACACAATAAATAGTTATTAAAAACACGGACTTACCCTAAAATGACTATATATCTGTTCCGGTGTCATAGTCCTTGTTTTTAATAACTATTTATTGTGTAAGATTTTAAAGTTGTATTCCTTTTAATTGTATATATAAGTTTTTCTTGTTTGATAATAATTCCTTTTAATTGTAAATAGATGTTTTACACAAGAGTCGTTTTTAAATTATTTAAGAAAAGCTTTGTTTTTTTATATCTCAAGAAGTCTTCGTGAATGAAATTCAACTCACTAATAATGTCAACGTCAGTGAACAAAAGCTAACAGTGCCTTAAAATTTACATCTCAGGTAACTATAATATTACAGTCAACGTAATTATTATCAAACATTATGTCTCGAGAAGTCTTCGTGAATGAAATTCAACTCACTAATAATGTCAACGCCAGTGAACAAAAGCTAACAGTGCCTTAAAATTTACATCTCAGGTAACTATAATATTACAGTCAACGTAATTATTATCAAACATTATGTCTCGAGAAGTCTTCGTGAATGAAATTTAACTCACTAATAATGTCAACGTCAGTGAACAAAAGCTAACAGTGCCTTAAAATTTAAATCTCAGGAAAAGTGGAGGAGATAGTATAAATGTATATATATATAGAAAATGGAGACAAAATGTAGAAAGAGAATTTAAATCAAAGCAGAATTCTTCTCAAATTATTACACATGTGGATCCAAAAGTCGTTCACCAAGATGGCATTTCGAAGTCCTGTCCTTACTTTGATTTTTCTTAACCATGTCTTTGTTTACTTAACTGTTTCTTTTTCTTTAGCATTTTTATTGATTAGGCTGTTATCAAAATTACAAGAATGTGTGATATTGATCCTGTTGTGACATTGAGTGGTGATATCAATAATGTACATTTTAAACGGATGTAAGGGTATTATAGTGTTACTAACACTGCAATAACATGTGGTAATTATCCTGTTGTGACATTGGGTGGTGATACCAGCAATGTACATTTCGAACGACTGTAAGGATATGGATAGTGTTACTAACATCAAAAATATGTGGTAATGATCCTTTTGTGACATTGAGTGGTAATATCAAGAATATACATTTCGAACGGATGTAAGGGTATAATTAGAAAAAATCATGATTGCTCATGACTTTTGTATCATCTTGTAGCGAACAACCCACTAAAGTTGACCTTATGAATATCCTAACGTTAATAACAGATATAATACAAAAATAATCAGAAATAACATTACATGTTAACGGTTGTGTACAAAGATCCTAACAGTAGTGTGAAAAGTTGAATAATGTTAACAGTTCCTAATACTAGAGAAATAGTTAAACGTATTGTTATACTTAAAAACAGTAAACACACGCTTTATAATACGTTTTTTTAATTTAGAAAAGTTTAAGTAGTTTTTAGAAAATAGACGGCTAAATACAAAGATCGAATGACATTTATTTTACATTTGTTTTCAAAAGTATAATCGTATTTCAAATTTGTATTAATGTTTGATGACTGAATAATTTTATTGAATAAAATTAGGTATTAAGTCAATCTGATTATAAGATTTGCCGTGATAACTCTGTGATAAGTCATGCCTTAAACGAAGGTTATTATTTAGAATAATTTTATCTTGAACAACAACTATATTTTAACATGTGCACACAGAATGTGGAACATCTCATAAAGTAAAAATTCTGTGTGATCATGGAAAATTAACTCTTAATATAAAGTAGTACCCTAAATGTCCTAAAGTGAGTTATTTTTATCTTTTAGAAAGATCGTTGGATGACAGGGAGAATAGTTAGAGATCTACTTTCAGGGAAGTAAGGAATTGATCATTTGTAAATGACGGATTATACATCTTTACAATATTTTTGAGAATTTTTCTTTTCTATCTATCACTCTTCTGTCTTCTGGAACTTATTTTTGTCCATGTTATGCATATACATATTTAATTGGTGGTAACTAACGCTTAGGACTGATTATATATTATACAAACAAATCAATACAAAATTAAAAAACAAAACACTGTTGCATCGCATTTTTACCAACCCTTGGGAGTTTCATATTTCTCATATCACACACAAATATGTCTACTATATGGCACATTGATTTATGTTTTGAAATTAGTGACAAGTCGCTGTCTTACAGTATATTCTACGTGGGGAGTACCACAGTTACGAAACAGGTCAACACATAAGCAGGCTGTTTACTATATGGCACATGGATTTCTCAGTTTTGAAACTAGTGACAAGTCGCTGTCTTACAGTATATTCTACGTGGGGAGTACCACAGTTACGAAACAGGTCAACACATAAGCAGGCTGTTTACTATATGGCACATGGATTTCTCAGTTTTGAAACTAGTGACAAGTTGCTGCCTTGCAGTAGATCCTATGTGTAAAATACCACAAGCAAGTACGTGCATCAATAATTTGTAAAAATGTGTTTCAAAAACTAGAGGTCATCTGTGGTACTAGGATTCAAAGAAAAATAATTATAAAATATGTGTTTAATTCAAATATTTTGCGGCCGTAAAGAACATAGATGGAATTTTTCATGTAAGGAAAAAAAACTGAGAAGGTGAAATGACATGGTGATAGCGAATAGATAAATAACGATTCTAGAATGTTCCTAAATAATCGGAAGTGCGTCAGCTAATGTTTAATAAGTAAGTTATAAGAAAGGGAAAAAAACGGTTTTCAAGCTATTTGCTATAAAGGTTATATATATATATATAACATATATTCCAATATTCTCACAGTGGTGTCTGATCTAAATATTTTATGCCAATCCAATAGAAGACTTATGCAGAAACAATTAAATTTAATGATGCAAATATCAAATGTAACAATTTATTTTTGTAGCTATGCAGCTGTATCACTTCATCACGGCAGGACTTAATCTAAAACTTGCCAAGGAAGCGACGTGTTGAAACATTAAGTTAAAATGCTCTCAAGTAATGTATTGAATTATAAGTTCTTGTTTCTCAACACTGGAAATTATCGTTTAGAGGGAAAATATAATTTTCTAAGCAAGAGAATGAGCCAAAACTAAAGTCATGAAAGATCACGAAAATCCTGATTTTCAGTTTTTCCTCTCTATCACTTTCAGCATTTCCTTCACTGCCAAAGTTCATCTTTCTATAATGTTTCAGCACTCGAGTGGACTACCGATGTTCGTAGTTTTTTTTTCCTTTTCGGTAGTAACGTTAAAATGAGAACATTTCTCAGCAGTGTAAGTGAGACAAGATTACTGTGTTGACAGCGACGATCCTTTGTGATGGGTGACACTTCAACCCCTCCTCTCTCCCTCTGAGAATGCGCTCTACTCGAACATACCCACTTAGTGGGCAACATCTTTGGATACTGATGTTAGACGTCCCTCTATTGTAGCACAGCTTCGAGATGACTAAATTGTCATTATGTGCTTCGGAAGGCAAGTTTTGATACAGTATTCAAATATGATTGAAACACTTCTGTTCTAAAAGAAAAATATATCACATAATAGCATCTCTCTGCATCCAAGAAGTTTTAGTTAAATCCAGCGGGAAGGCCAAAAACTAGAAGAATCACAGACATAAAACATACGTTGTATATATATATAGCAAATACAGAAAGTATTTCTTTCTTCCGTTTCGTTTTTGGGAAGTTGATGTTTTAAAGTTGCCATTTCAAATCTGCTTATTATTCAGGTTGATCAACTGAGTTACTTGAAACAGTTTGGGGCAAAAGTCATTTTTCAATCAATAATGTAACGGTTACAGACAGGGACTTCTCACAAGACCACTTTTTATTTTTCAAAGTAACAGAAGTAGTGGCTAAATTTTCTGTTCCTCGTAAATCAAATGAAATTAAATTTATTGTAAATAACTGAAAAGTCTGAAGATTCATTTCGTGTCAATTAATGTAACGGTATGTACAACGTCTGATAATTATACTATATATTTTCTCTTTTTTGACGTGAAATTGTTAACACCAACAAACACCTAAAATTATGTTACCTGACTGATTTAAAGTAAAAGGTTACTTGCGTTTTGTTTAAGTGGGAACTTATAGTGCTTTCATAAAACATTACCGCTGTGCTTCTGAAAGCTCCTCAGATCCTTTTACTAGTATAAAAGGGATAAACAGATAACATAACTTATTATCTCGTTTTTTATATTTCAAATAAATATGAATATATATATAAACCTTCCTAAGCAAGTTTATTTTGTACATACGAAACATAAAACTCCAATGGCTTATAGAGCAAGATATACTTAGTAATATATAGAGATTTTTTTTATAATTCGATATAAATATGAAATAATAGTCTGTTTCCAGTTTTTAACACTTTCGATGAAGGCAATAATTTCAGCTCATTATTTTAAACAGGACCCAAGGAATAAAAAATCGAACTCGCAAAAGAAAAGTTAAAATATCATCCATAATTTTCTTCACATAGTAATATGTAGTTAATTTTGTTTAACTCATCATTTTCCGTTTGTATTTTGTCTGACTAGTCATTTTTATTTTAGAAACCGGGTTTCGATACCCGTGGTGGGCAGAGCACAGATAGCCCTTTGTGTAGCTTTGTGCTTAATAATAAACAAACATTTTTATTTATATCGTTATCGTATTTTAACCTTACTATACCATGTCTTAATTGTTTTAACTGATAATGTTGTTTGTATGAATATCTTAGTTTATCTTACACTACTATACCATTTTTATTTATGTCGTTATCGTATTTTGACCTTACTATACCATGTGTTAATTGTTCTAACTGATAATGTTGTTTGTATGAATATCTTACACTACTATACCTAACTTTGTCTATCTTATAATATTCTGCTTACATTTTACCGTAGTTTAACCTTCCTCAGTTATTGTGAATGATAGTAGAGATCATTAAATAATAATCGTTGTTATAAATAAATAATCGGTGTTAAAATTATAAATAAAAAATGATGTTGTGGTATTAATTCTTACCGTATGAACATGATTGGGAGATGATTTAAATAAATTCCTAATAACTACAACTCACTTGCTTAATCTGGTTCACACCATAACAGTTGTTGCTTTTGAAAACTGATAATATATATATATATACATATACATATAGCGCTTAGACCATTACTATGCCTGTTACATCCCAGCCGGCTTGCTGAGCACTGATATTGGGCGAAACGCCTCAACGACACTAGATATGTGGTTGACATATTATAACGTATTCTCCTTTGCTTTCACTCATGGATGTTTAGAATTTCAGTACTGTACCTAACATTGCATAACTAAGCAGTCTTTGTTTGTACTGTTGTCATAGTTTAAATTTAGAATGTCTAGCTAATAACTATATGCTTTCGTTTTACCTTAGCTTAACTTTACAATACTGTATTTAACATTGCCTAACTAATCAGTTTTGTATGTATTATTGTCATAGTTCAAACTTACAATGTCTAGCTAATAATTATATGCTTTCGTTTTACCTTTGCTTAACTTTACAATACTGTACCTAACATTGCCTAACCGATCAATTTGTGACCGTATTGTTACAATATCATACCTGAACTTCTTTAACTAGTCATTTTCAGTTTGTATTGTTACCATACTTTATCGATGCCATACATAACTTACTTAAGGTGACGACTTTCTGTTTGTATTTGCTACCTTAATTTTTCTTACCAATAACACGTCTAACTTTGTCAACTTGTTCTTTGTATTTTACCACAGTTTAACTTTACAATGAAGTACTTATCTTGTTCTTTTAATCATGATGTGTGTATATTTTACGTA